GTGAGGAGAACCAGTGGAGAACTGGGCAGCTATCTTGGTGAGTGACCGGCGTTAGCTACAGAATGTTAGCTAACGTCACATCACAACATTGTGAAGTTAGCTATCATATATCAGGCTATAACAAACGTAGCATTGNCAAGCTTCAAAGTTGTATTTATCATCTGAATTTGCCGAAACAAGTTTAATATTCTGAAAGCCAAGACTTTGTTTTAATTGAAATCAGATGAAAACAAACTGTAACGGACCCTGCCGTGTTATTTATGATTACTCTACGCTTACATTCATAATGTCAGCCGGAGGGAGGGGGAGCGGCGCTGCGGAAGAGCAGATTGCCTGTCATCTTCCCTTTACAAGCTTAAAGAATGTATTTATCGTGTGAGTTTGGAAATAAAAGTTTCATATTCTGAAAGCCAAGACTTTGTTTGTTTAAAATCAAACAAAACACCCGAACCCCGAAAAAATACTTTTTTATGCAAATCCACGTTTATTTTGAAATGAGCCGTTGCGACTTCCGACTGATTTCGATAGAGCGGGTCACATATGACATATAACATGTTTAGGCTTCAATAGGTCGCATTTGAACATTACAGATCATCCATGTTTTTACAAACGGGTATGTTTGTTTAAGTAAAAACTAAATGCAAATATCCATGGTGATAAGAGACAGTATACTATTAGTGTGTGTGTGTTTCATAATCACTTGAATAACATGAAGTTAAATGATCTGCAAATCATACATTTGTTTACCACAAAATAGTGAAAGTATGAAAGATTTTATTTCATATGCACCATGGACTTTTAATTTATATCAATCTCTTCCAGACTTAAAGGTTGTAGCCTTTGGTTCAAATACTAACCTCTTCTCGTTGGGGATACTAGTCATGGAGCTTTAAAATAATCAAACCTTTTAGAATTTCTGCAATAAATACAGGTAGCGTTACATCTACAACATTGGGTTGAAACCAGATTAAAATCTGCGTAGGATAATTGTTGATACATGATCTGATTGCCAATTTTCACAATTGCCAATCAGGCTTTTGTGCAACCATTAACATAGTGATATATTAGACTTCTGACATAATATCCTCTTCATCAGCTTGACATAATTTAGTTTTTGCCTACCCTACAGTCGAGACAGTTTGTCTGTCTGTCACCTACTTTGGCTCAAAGATGAACTGATACAATTGTTTTGGGTCCGAGGTCAGGATCAGTATGACCTCAAGTCAGTCCCATTCTTGTGCATCTGATATCTCAGGTGAAAACGGGTCATTAGTATTTTGTAATGATGATGACATTTCTTGACTCTATCCTACCATCAGTTTAAAACAAAAAGATAATCAGTTTACTATCATATATGACAATGAAAAGCTGGTAATGTTTGGCAGAAACAACTGAAAGATTATGAATGATCCGAACGGTTGCTGTTTTTCTTCTGTGGGTTTTCAATCGCTTATGTGTAAGACAAGTTGTTTCAACTCTAGATGTTTCACAGCTCGGTTTTCTGGACTGCATTAGTTTTAATCAGCCTGAGCTTATAAAAGGAAAACTGAGAGAATCTTTAAGCCAAATAGCTGCAATCAGCTGTAATCCATGTTCCTGAGTTCTCTGCACATCCTAAATACCAGCACGTGAGCCCTAAATTAGCAATGCTCAGCTATAGAAAGCTATTCAGAAAGGATTCTGAAGCTGCGTTTTAACTTGCCACAGGTGTGTAGCTTGGATTTAGAGGTGGTTGGAGGTGGAAAAAGAGGAGGAGGGAAAGTGAAGTCAAAAAAGCGCGTCTGTCTCTGGTTTCCCTGAAGCTACATGACCCTGGCTCTTTTGTCCCGCGAGCGCTGACTGACGTCCTGAATGGGGCCCTTTGAAGCAAGCTCCAGTTTTAATTAAGAGGGTTTGCCTCGCCTGGACCACTGATCTGTGAAAGCCACGGGGATAAATATTGAATGGGGTTCACCCGCTGGTTACTGTGCCCGAGGGATAAACAGGTGCTTTGGAGGGCAGGTATTTGCCAGGGCCCCCTACCTGCACGGTGTGGTCATATTGGAAGGAGAGGGTGTTTGGTGTCATGTCTTCCAAGGTATTGACTATTGAAGCCCACCCTTATTGGAATGAATTCCAAGCCCTCGAAAGCTGTGGAATGAGGAGCAAATTGGCGTCCAGTGAGAGGCGCCAGTGATACCTAAGTGATCCGCTGCCTGCGGCCCCTCAGTGCCCTCTATCTAGCCCTCTGGAGTGTGAGATTTCCATCTCTCAGGTGTTGGCAGGGAGCCACGCAACAGAAGCCTACCTGTGAATATTCTGAAGTGTTCAGTGACACCACTGACCTCTGTTCTGTCAATTCAAGTAAGCTTTAGCCGGTGCATACACTTGCACCTGGTAGTGTAGGTATACCATGGAAACTCAGTAAACCTGCAATAAGTAAGCTGAGAACACCTGATGAAACGATGTAAACCACATGAAAGGTAGTAAACCTATCCTTTACAATGTACCTATACATGCTGCGTTAAAAAGGAAGCCTCATCTTATATGTAACTTGAAAGACTAAGTGAGGATATTTTCATTGCAAGTGGCACCAAAGGAGCAACTCCAGTGGAATTGCTAAGCAGCGTGTCGTTGTTGCGTGCGGAGCTGGCGTCCCGTTTGCCCTTTTTGCCAGTTATCTGCATTCCTTTCTAGCGGGTGTCTGCTCTGGGCTGTGGGGCCAGGCTTGAAACCTTGTTGTCCTGGCATCTCGGGAGGCAGGCACGTAAAAGGATACTCTTGTGTCAGCTGTTTCCTGCTGCAGCTTTTGACAAGGGCCTCTATTCATCACCAAGCCCTTCTACACCGCACCAACCCACCCCTTCCTCCCCCCACCTGCCAATGAATAAGTAATTATTGGCCATCTTGGTGCAGGATATTTGGATGGCTCTATTTAATGTGGCAGCAGAAGGTAAGGTGATCGGGCTCAGGGCCCGGGCTACGGAGCGTAACTGTTCCAGAGGAGAAAGGTAACTTGAACTGGTGTTGGGGCCCTGCAGCACCTCTGTTTATTTTTCACATGGACTCAGGGCTCGTTATCCCTCTTAAGTCTGAGAGACAGCTCTCTAAGGGCTCTTTTTGGCCTGCACTCCATCACACATTGTAATATTTGATGGACAAACATGCTTGAAAAATCTGAGAGGCCGGGTAACTCAAGCTACTCATCTGTCATCAGAAGTGCTGCTTTCTAAACCCCATCATAGGTTGCCATACGTGACAACACATACCATTCATTCTTGCGTGAAATCATTCAGTTAAGTTGTTGGAGATGTAGGAATAAACTTCTTTGCCAGCTTGTTCAATATTTAGAAAAATATGGTAATCTCTGAAAAATCTCTTTCCAGATAATCTGACCGGCATACAAAATAAACAGTGTCTTCTTTCGTCCCTTCCTCTCTGTTTTGCAGCCTGTCAAGTGCATTAGCTTGACCCTGTAAAGATGGAGTAGGTTCTCTGTATAGATGTAGGCACAACTATTTCTGAAATTGCCTCGTTGGCCTGTTTAAGAAGGTCAAAGTATATTTTATCAACAGGCCAACACATCAACGTTGTGATTGTCTCGAGTGTCCCAGCACTTCTTTATCCGTTGATGATTCTACTTCTGTTCTAGGCCATACATACTCAAACAATAACGTCAACAAGAACAGTTCATCAAAAATGTTATAAAGTTAATTTGAGCCATTGTCCGCCATCTTTATCTGCCACCATCGCCCCAGAAATTGAAAGTGTCAAAATATCAGATTTCATCTTCAGTTCAGCAACCGTTTTTTACATTCTTTTTATTTTATTTTTATCAAACGACAATGATGAGTGGACATGCCTGTCCTTTACCACTTCTGCATATGGTATGATTTTAGAGGAAAAGACAGAATTTTCTTCTGTGAAGTCATTTCAATCAGCAGACTTTGTCACTGCTAAAAAAGTGGGTAATGTTGTAGATATCCTCTTTCGTCGTATGTGCATTTGAAATGTATCAAATAGAAATATATGCTATATTATTGATTCCCACTTGTTTGTCCTTTTCACAAGGAATGAACATTCATTGATATGAAACAATGACAGATGTTGAACTCTACTAAATATGTGGCTTTTTTATTTATCTTTTTATAAATCATCTTTTATATAAGTGCCACATGGCTACATACAGTAGATACAAAGATACACTACTGTTTGTGTTAATGGTAGCATTTATAATGTTAATATTGATAATGAGGTATTTTTACCAAAGAATCTCAAAATGGTTTCCAATACTGGTTTTGAGACGCCTGTGATTTGATGCTGTCTGAGCCACTGAATGTCCAAAGTTTACACCACTTAAAAGAGCTCAAAACACAAGTAGGATCGGTTTCATAAGCGTCACTGGCTACACTTCACCTGTGAGGGATGGAGGGGGCATCCGAAACATCACTGGACGGCCAATTATGAAGCAGCTAGATTTTCTCAGCCGCCACAATGGTGGCCGATCCTCTTTCATACTCAAAAGGTCATCTGGTGCAGAGTGACAGGACACCTAATGTATGGATGCAGATTCTTTATGCTTCTCCATGTCTTTTTCAATAGAGTATACAAGACAGTCTGTCAAAGCCCTTTCAGGCTGCAGATAATGGTGATGAGTCGCTGATGAGCTTTTTGTTTCACAATACAGTGAAGAGCTAAATGCAGACAAGCAATTACAATAGTAAAAAAATACCAATTTTTAGAAGAACATTTTGAGATCTTAAAGTGAGATTTGAGATTTAAGTAATTTATTAATTCATGTATTATTATTTATTGCCTAAATAAATAAGTAACACTGTTGGTTGGACCTCAGAAATAGGAGGCCAGCTAACCTTATCATTCAATAATTAAACAATGCACCATGTATGTGTTGTTGCCACCATAATATGGATCGGTAGGGTGGTTGGTATTGGATGCATGCCCATTTATTTATTGGCACAATACGGCAGGTCTTGAGTGCACAAACTGTGTGAAACCTCGAAATGTATCTGGTATGTTTCGATCATGCATAAAGGTTGGGTCAAGTGGATTATCATTTGTATTGGAATGTAGGGAGGTGTGTGGTGCAGTGGGTTGTGCGTTGGTGTTCGGATCAGGGGGTCACACAGGTTCAAACCCCACTGCAGTCAGCATGTCGTTGTGTCCCTGAGACACTTCACCCAAAATTGTTCCTGTGGGGATTGCCCACAGTATTGAGTATGTAAGTCACTTTGGATAAAAGCGCCTAACAAGTGACATGTAATGTAATGTGAATTGATCTTATCACTCGTCCAAACACTGCAACTTCTACCAATCACTGTGAAGCAGGACAAGCAGGTGCCATGTGTGTGTTTTAGTGGGATCTTTCAAAAACGTTTTTTGTTTTAAAACTACATTGCATGTTTAAACATATTTAGTGACATTAACAAAATGAACCCCGCGCACCTGATCCTTGGTAAATCAAGCCACATTATCCATGACTTAATTATGATAAAGAAAAAAGGCAGGGAGTAAGCAATGGCACGGCTCACCAGGGTGGCACTACTCTACCCCCGTCCCCCCAGCCCCTTCAACACATACAGGACTGTCTCAGAAAATTAGAATATTGTGATAAAGTTCTTTATTTTCTGTAATGCAATTTAAAAAAACAAAAATGTCATACATTCTGGATTCATTACAAATCAACTGAAATATTGCAAGCCTTTTATTATTTTAATATTGCTGATTATGGCATACAGCTTAAGAAAACTCAAAAATCCTATCTCAAAAAATTAGAATAGTTCCTCAGACCAAGTAAAAAAAAAAGATTTATAACAGCAAAACACAATCAAACATTTGAAAATGTCCATTAATGCACTCAGTACTTGGTTGGGAATCCTTTTGCACGGATTACTGCATCAATGCGGCGTGGCATGGAGGCAATCAGCCTGTGGCATTGCTGAGGTGTTATGGATGCCCAGGATGCTTCAATAGCGGCCTTTAGCTCATTAGCATTGTTGGGTCTGGTGTCTTTCAGCTTCTTCTTCCAATACCCCAATATTCTCTATGGGGTTCCAGGGTCAGGGGAATTTGCAGGCCAATCGAGACAGTAAATGCCATGGTCAGTACACCAGTTAGCTGGTGGTTTTGGCCACTGGGGCTCAGGTGCCAGATCATGCTGGAAAATGAATTCCTCATCTCCATAGAGCTTTTCAGCAGACGGCAAGCATGGTATGCGCTAAAATCTCTTGGTACATCCAGCTGCTTTACTCTGGGCTTTGATAAACAACAGTGGACCAACACCACAGCTGACATGGCTTCCACCAAACCATCGCTGACTGTGGAAATTCCACTGGATTTTCAGCAACTTGGATTTTGCTTTCTCTCCAGCCTTTCTCCAGACTCTGCGCCTTGAACTCCAAATGAAATAACAAACTTGCTTCGTCTGAAAAGAGGACTTTGGACCACTGTGCAACTGTCCAGTGCTTCTTTTCCTTAGCCCAAGTCAGACGCCTCTTCCGTTGTCTTTGAGTTCAGAAGTGGCTGACCAGTGGGAATACGGCCTATTGATAAGCCCATTCCCGCGGACACGTCTTGTGAACAGTGACTTTTGATACCTGGACTCCAGCTCAGTCCAACTGTCTTTGAAGCTCCCCAAATTCTGGAAGCGACTCCTCTTCACAATGCCTGTTAAGGCGCGGTCATCTCTCTTGGTTGTGCACGCGTTTCCTGCCACATTTCCTCCCCTTCCAACAGACTTTTGTGGATGTTGCTTTGAAACTGCACTCTGTGAACAGCTTGCTCTTTTGAGAAATTTCTTTTTGGTGTCTTACCTCCTGATGGAGGTGGTGTCAATGGACGGTCCCCCTCTGGACAGCAGTC